GTGATACGGAAATATATTAAAGCAAAGTGGGTTTAAATGGCTGTTTACTCATGGATATGTTCATTATATTAATCACAAATATGTTTTAAAAATAATGTACACTATTCTGATCTTGCCTCAGAAAAAGGAGATGAATAGACTTGAAATAAATTGTCTCTGTATTCTAGAGACATTTTTATGTAGCTGGCATTCCGTTGTGATGGAAATGTAACATTAAAACACAGCAGGAATAATTTCTAATGATAATTTAAATCCATTGTCATACTGTAGCTACCCAATTGTAAAACAAACACACAAAACTACTATTCTCAGTGGGCCTCATGTCCCCTCTCTGCCATACTGGCCACCATGCCGTTCTTCTGGGTATGAGCGAGTGAGTGGCAAAGGCAAGAGTGATAGGACAACGACCAGCCACCAGATGTGCTGCCCGCCTTTGGTGTTTGGAAGGACCCTTGCAGCTGTCACACTTACCCATGTAAATGTGGTTTTCTTTGGGTTCTCTTCTTGAAAAGAATTGCCAAGGGAGAGGTGGAGAATAGTCATGTCAGTGTGGCAACTTGAGACAGTGGTCGGAACATATGAGGACCCTTTAATTCAAAAAATACAGTTGGAAACAGAAACTCCACCTGCAATCCTGCATTTATTTTAAACACTGATATTAGCTTAAGGTATTAATACAGGAAGTCTGCTTAAGGACCTCATTTGTTTTCCAGGTGACTTTTTAAGTTATTTGATAGGTTTTTAAATTTAACTTAATTCATTAAAAAAATTTTACTGTTTACATAATTGCAGGTATCCCCCTTCCCCACACCCCTTTGCCCACCTCCATCCACCCCTGCTTCTTCCTCCCTTTGCCTTCACCAAACTATTGTTCATGTCCATGGGTTATGCATATATATTGTTTAGCTAATCCCTTCACCTTCTTTATCCAGTCACCCCCACCCCCGTCCCCTTGGGCACCGCCGGTCTGTTCCATGTATCCATTCTTCCAGTTCCATTTTCTTCATGATCAGTTTATTTTGTTCATTAGAGTCCACATATTTGTGAGATCATATGGTATTTGTCTTTCTCTGACTTGCTTATTTCCCCTAGCATAATACTCTCCAGTTTGTGGACTAAAACTCATCTTTTTTTTTTTTTTAAACTTTCAGTCATTTTATGGGCAGCCTTCTTGTCGAATCATATTTTATGTTTTATTTTTGCAAGCTATTTCTTGGCTAACCTGAGAGTGTAGGCTTCAAATAGAAATGAGGATGAGTCGTAGAGAATTTAGAACTTTTAAGAATATAAGTAACTAAATTTGGTCTTTTTAAAAATAAAGATCCTATAGATATTAGCATGATTTTGGAGTGAGAGATGAGGTTCAATTAGTATGCTATTTTCTAACTAGTTCATTTAGAAATATTTCTTGAGTGTTTCTCTGGGATCCATTCAACTACACTTGCTGAATTGAGCCAGCACTAATACAGTCTCTATAGAATCCTCGTTTGCTTATTTACACTCTGTTTCCAAAAAGATTTGAAGAGTGACTTTATAGAATATGAAACCTATAATTACATTGTACATCACTCCTAAATTAAGTTTGTGGAAGTGATTTGAATTTCATTATAGCTGACGTCTGTTTTGCAACCCTTCCCTTTTGTGTGGTGTTTAGTGGGCAATTCTTTTATGACCAGTCCTGTCTTTACCCTTATTCTAACTTTTCATCTTAAAACTTTAAAAAAAAAAATCTTTAAATAAGTGAACTCTTTCATTTTTGTTTATAGGTACAATGGTGCTTTACCTAATGGAGACAGAGGCCGTAGGAAAAGCAGATTTGCTCTCTATAAACGACCCAAGGCTAATGGAGTCAAACCCAGCACCGTCCACGTGATATCCACACCACAGGCATCCAAGGTAGGTGGCTTCTGCACCACTGGGAAGGGCTCGGCAGACAGTGACTCACAGGGATTCTGTATTATTCCTTGTCCTTTCAGTTTTATTTCTTTGTAGGACAATTTCTCAGCCATTTGAGACTGGATAATTTTTGGTTGTGAAGGGCTGTCCTGTACATTGCAGGGTATTTGGCAGCGTCCCTCGATCCAGTAGATGCCCATAGCACATCAGTCCCACACCACCGCCAACTGCCACCAACATTGTGACAACCAAAAATGTCTCCAGACTTTGCCTCATGTCCCCTGAAGGATGGGATGAGCAAATCCCTCTTGCCCACCTCATTATAAATCTCTGCTTTAGGTTGTAGTGAAACTAGCATGTATCAATTTAGAGTAGTTGTGGTTCAAAGTTAAATGCTGTTCTTTAATTTAAAGAGTGTTTTTTATTAAATCTTGGTGTAAACATCATTAAGATTTGTTCTTTTCCTTCTGTTGAGTAGTGAGTGTTTTCACATAATCTACATGTATGTGGAATTGAATTTGTGTAATTATTAGAAAGATTGGAAGTAAACAGTTAAGTGCTATACAAACTTCCTCTCATAAATTTCAAGTGAATAAAATGTTAATTTTTAGGATTATTTCATTTGTCCTCTGATATATAAGTGGGACAGAAATCTCAGTTTCCATTTTGGTTGATATAGTCTACCTGTTAGATTTATGACAGTTTTCCTTTTAATTAAATAGATTCTTTAATGTGTAATATAGTTTCCCTTTCTATAAAATGATTATACTTACCTGAAGTATTTCACATGGGGCACTGGCTCTACACATTTATCATCATGGGTTTCGACCATCTGGAATAAATAAGAGACTCGATTCTCCCTTTTACTGAAAACCCATGTTCAAAGAGGAATGAATGACTTCGTGGAAACACATTTGGTATTTATCCTTAGTCTTAGATCACTTTTGTCAATGTTTTTATTTAAAAAGCTTCTGTGGTTGATTCTGAAGCAGTGCATGGGAAAAGTTAGCTAGACTGTACCAATTAAGACCAATTAAGACTGTCTTATATTAATGAGGGAATGGTTAGACAAGAAAGTATCAAGTACCAAGGAAACAGGAAAGGAAAGATGAATATTTAGTGGCAAAGTTTTTGGCTAGAGAAGGGGAATAAAGTAGAAGTTTTTGAAAGGGAAGGACACTTTAAAGGGAAAACAAAGGAAATCGGGTTTAGAAAGATTCTGAGAAATGGAGGAGGTGAGATAGCAACAGGATCTGAGAAAGTCAAGGAAATATTAGAAACATTTTATAGTCCAAAAATATTTGGTAAAGAAGGACAGGACACCAAGAGGAATGTTTTTGAGCATGGGATGAGTGCCAAAAAAATTCTAATATTATACATGTGGTCCTTATAATTTTGTCTGTGTGTTGACATTTATCTTTCCTTCCTCTGGCTCTGTACATTTTTATTACATTTACTTTTTTTTTTTTTTTATATATCTTTATTGATTTCAGAGAGAGGAAAGGAGAGAGAGAAACATCAATGATGAGAGTCATTGATCGAGCCCACAACCTGGGCGTGTGTCCTGACCGGGAATCGAACCCCGATCGCCTGGATCCTAGATCGACGCTCAACTGCTGAGCCATGCCCAGCCGGGCACATTTACTTTTTTTTTTAATCTCAGATTTTGTATTAATACAATGGCTTTAGATATTTTTTAAAAATTTTATAGAAATCTGACTGCTCAGGCTCCGTGTTATGATAAACATGAAAATTAGGTTCGATTGGAAGGTCGGTGGCTCTTTCTTACTCATTTTCCGTCTCCATCTGCTCCAGTTTTAGCCTGTTGTGTTTTATACATACGCCTACATTTTACCTGAAGTTTTTAAGATTATAAATCTTTTGGTATTTGTCTTTCTAAATCTGTGTTTAAAACTATCACTTGCAGTCTAGTAGTAAGGCAAATTGGGTTTTGGCCTTGACCCTCTCATCTTATAACCTGGGGAAAATATATTCTCAGGGCCTCAGTTGCCTCATTTACAAAATGAAAGAGTTGGCTATAGGCAGGAGCCACGTTGAATCAGGTCAGATACTTTGGTGATAAGGAACATAAATGATTCTGGCTTTAAAAAAAGGAAGCAAAAAGGGAGAAATTATTAAAGGATAAGGTGAGAACAGCTCTCAGAATTGGGGGGAAAAGCTGCGTAACTAGGTTTTATGAGAAGCAGAGTATCAACAGGAGTTAACATGGGTATTCTTTCCAGGGCGTTATAAAATGACTTGGCTCCAACTACCTTGTATCTCTTTTAAAGGCTTTAAATTTTCAGGAATGAGAATCTGATAGGCCCAGTCTAGGTCAGTCAGCCATGACCAAGGGAGATGAGTAGACCAGACATATTTCTTGAGGAACTGATCAAACACCCCATATTGTACTTCCCTCACGCATCCTGTTCATCTTGGCGCCTGTAGGTTGAGGGCCTTACACCTAATATTGCAGCCTAGCACCTTAGTCACAAATCACTCACTCCTGTTTCCTCTCCAGCTCCCATCCCTGATCAGTTTTGCCCTGCTACTCCAGCTGTCACCTTCTCCTTTGGCCCCTTTGATACAATCTCTCATATATTTAACTTTTTTTTCAGATGCTCTTCCTACTGCCTCACTTTAACTGAATCCTGGTTTTTAGTGATACATTGTTTTTACTGGTTTTTTCATCTCTTCCCGTTCATGGAACTAGACATGACTGTATTCTTTTTCCATTTCGGTCTCCTCTTTTTAACCCTACATTATTAACTTAAGTTGCCCTAACCCTACTCCTGACCTCACTGACCTGCAGTTCACTCTTCTGCATATTTCAGTGATTTTGTACCTACACAGGCCAATCTATTTTCTCCCCAACCCCTTGTTAAACATACATTAGCATCCATGGTTCATATAGTGCTTTAGCTCAATTTCAGTGGCTGCCACTTCCATTCCACTTTTCCAGTTCATTCTACTTGTGTTTACATTTACTTTCTTACCCCATCAATACATCTGTCCCTTTCGCCTGTCCTTATTTGCCCCAGTTGTTAGCCCACTTCGCTTGTCCATTTATGTTGTTGACTTCACCTCAGATTCTCTTTCAGCACCCGTTCTTTGTGAGTCTGTGGCTCTGGTCCCTTCCCAAGTCCTGCTGGATTGTTTTTCTTGTCTTTTTCTTGCTCACCCCATTTCACATCAGAGTTTGTCTTCTCTGAAAGTTCTGATTCTGCAGTATTGGTAATGAAAGGGTCATCAGTTGTAAAAGTGAGAGCTAGAAGGGTGGATGTGGTTACCATGATTAGAATTTGAGCACTGGCCTTTTGACTATGTTGTTTCTTCCTTCTGCCATATCATTTCCTCTGCCTCACAGACTGGGGGCAAAACAGGGAGTAGCCGTTTGCTGTTGGTAGTGGCAGCTGGGAAATGGGACCTCTTAGTCTTCCATGCATGCCAGTGTCTAAGCTAAGTCAGATGAGGGTGGCAAGTATGCTACTGTTGTGTAACCTCTATTTGTGTAATCTTTAGTTGTGTACATATTTGCTCAAAGTTATTTCTCCTATTGTATAATGTATGTGTGTGTTTTTAATAAAGAACGCTTAAGCCATGTTTTACTTTTGGCATTTCTGTTACACAGACATAGGGCATTTAGCAATTTATTCATCCATTCATTTACTCACCAAATATTTATCTAGCTAGCTCTGATATGGCCAGGCATCATGCTAGCTATTAGATATACTATAGTCAACAAAACGTGCCTGCATGGAGCTAATTGTCTAGCAAGTAGGCAAATAGTAAGTAATCATGTGAATACATGTTTAACTGCGCATTGTGAAAAATCACAGTGGTGGGAAAGAATAAGGTGCTGTGAGAAAAGGAGTGCAGAGTTGAGGCTGGGTAGACAGGGAGGAATCTGAGGAAGTGGCTTGTGAGCTGTTAGCTGTAAGCTGTAAGGAGGAGCTAGCTAGCCAGGAGAGCAGACAGCTCTGGAGCTCTTGTGAGCCTGGTTGGAGAATTTGGAATTTTTTCCTGAGGGGGGAAACATTGAAGGGAATGGTATGATATGGCTGAGAGTTTATTTATGTTTGTTCCTTTGCTTTTTAATGATGTGGGCCAACTATTTTGCTCATATGTAATCTAAATAGTACGATGATGGTGGTGGTGGTGGTGGTGAATGGTGCCTGATAGGTGAATATTTTGTTAGCAACATGGTTTAAATTAGGCAACATTACTGTGGAAAGCTCTTCACATGATTGATTTTCCCTTCTTAGATTGTGCTGTATAGAAACCTCCTTTTTTGGGGGGTTATTTTTCCTTTTAAAAAGTAACTTGAATATCACTTGGTTCCAGCAGGCATATTTCAGGATGGAAAATGTCAGTGGTTGTACAGTGACAGTTTAGAGGGAAATTAGGGCTATTTAACGTGATTGCTACAACCAGGATTACTCTTTAGCTCTTTGCACTGGAATGGCTCTGCTGGTCGATAAGACACTGAAACTCTTCCTTATTAGTCAGTGAATAATGCAGTGGTAACTGTGTGAAGTGGCAGAATTAATGCATACATTTCAGTATAAACTCTTTAGTTCAAGCTAATTTTGTAGGTTGTAATCAGGTTTACTTTTGAAGCACTCACCGTCTGTCTTGTCTATCCAACCTGAATCTGGGTGGCAATGGATGACATAGCTTCCATTTGGATAAGTTTTATCCCCTTAGATATCATAAACATGAATAGTCTGAATCTGTCCATGAAGAAAAAAGGAAATAGTAGTAATAAACTGCAGCCCAGAATACCTTTTGATAATATACAGGGATATAAACCTAAAACAAATAATTTGTATTTCTAGACTGAAGAATAACTTATTTCAACAAAACTATAAATACAAACAGCCTAACTTTATACTTTAAGGAATGAGAAAAAAGAAGAAAAAAGGAAGCCCAAAGTTAGTAGAAGGAAGGACATAACAAAGAGCAGAAATAAATAAGATACAAAAAAATAATAGAAAAGA